ACTTCCTACTATCTCTCTGACTCATTTGTGTCTTCAACTTCCAATTGTGGCCTCTTGTTTCTGTGTCCCCTCCCTGGAACATCCTGTCTTTGTCCACCTTGTCTATTCCACGCAGTATTTTATATGTCGTTATCATGTCTCCCCTGACCCTCCTGTCCTCCAGTGTCGTCAGGCCGATTTCCCTTAATCTTTCTTCATAGGACATTCCCCTTAGCTCTGGAACTAACCTTGTCGCAAACCTTTGTACTTTCTCTAGTTTCTTGACGTGCTTTATCAAGTGCGGGTTCCAAACAGGTGCTGCATACTCCAGTATGGGCCTGACATACACGGTGTACAGTGTCTTGAATGATTCCTTACTAAGGTATCGGAATGCTGTTCTCAGGTTTGCCAGGCCCCCATATGCTGCAGCAGTTATCTGATTGATGTGTGTGTGTGTGTGTTGAATCTTTCTCTGTTTAAAGGTCTTCAGAGTAGCAAGTTAAAGAGAATGTCTTGAAACAGTAAGTCTTAAAGAAAGCGGTGAAGGATAACTTTAGAAAACTGGGGGGGGTCTTTCTTCTCCCTCTAAGACTCATTATCAAGGGGGAGGTCCCCAGATACCACTTTCTTCAAAAACTTTCTGAGTGGAGAAAGTTTTTCAAGTCTTGGAGAGTGATGGTCTTTCTCTCTCTCTCTCTCTCTCTCTCTCTCTCTCTCTCTCTCTCTCTCTCTCTCTCTCTCTCTCTCTCTCTCTCTCTCCTCTCTCTCTCTCTCTCTCTCTCTCTCTCTCTCTCTCTCTCTTTTCTCTCTCTCTCTCTCTCTCTCTCTCTCTCTCTCTCTCTCTCTCTCTCCTCTCCTCTCTCTCATTCTCCAGTAAACAAACACATTCTTCTATTTTGGACCAAAATTTCTATTTTTGCTGTGTGTTTTACCAATATGAGATCATTATGATGGACCTTGATTATTATAAAGGTGCAGGGGACAATTATTATTATTATTATGATTATTATTACAAGTATTATTATTTATATTGTTATCTTTATTGTTATTATTATTATTAGAGCTTTAAACCCGTAGGGGTTATAGAGAGCCTGGAGAAAGGGAATTTCTCCATGCTTCATGTATTCTTCTCTTCCATTCTTACTATTCCATCCATTCCTCTCCCATTATAATGTGAGGCTTCTTCCTTGATTTGCGAGATCCTGGGTACACAGGCAGTGTTGAAGTTTGCCTGGCCCTGGGTGGGGTGCCATGCCCGCGAGGGAGAGAGGAGTAGGCCTTGTTGACTCTAGGATGCCTGAACACCAAGTGAGGGAGTGGCGGGGTGATGCCCTTTGAAATGGCAGGCCCACCTGGGTTGCCCTCTGGTGGAAAGTATTAAAAATTAGGCATGTAGGTGTACAGTCTACACTTCGCTCGGTCATCTACAACATGGTCGTCCTCGGCCATAATTGGATGTAAAAAAAAACTGGGTTTCTCTTGCTGCAGGAACAGGGCACAGAACACAGAATAAAAACACGTGTATATAGACATGTGGACATGGAAAAAAAAAACTTACTACATGGAGGGAAGAAAAAAAGGTGGGGTGTGCTGAAAAAAACATTGTGGTCCAAGGCAGTGAGCTTCGATGGGCGTCACTGCACGCCTTCCTGTGTCTGGACAGGTACTGCCACACAGGAGACATTGCTGCGGCTTTCTGTACAAGGGGCTCAGAGGCTCGTAACTGATGCCTGGGCTGACTAATATCAGCTGTCAGTGGTCACACTGTGTAATAAGTAACACGAGGTGCTACACAGTAACACCTCGTGTGGCAGGGCCAGGAGCTGAGTCTCGACCCCTGCAACCACAATTAGGTGAGTGAGTACAGTGGTGGGCTCAAAACCTGCTGTGGTCTACACACACAGCTGGGCAAACACCACTTAATCAGGGACACACGCAAAACGTGCACACACCCGCACTGCACATGCTGTACAACATGGCTTGAGCAAATGATGCCTTCCTGTGCAAAAATCGACACTAAGCATGCACGAACATGTGAGAACACTGACTGAGAGGAATTAATTAACACGTGACATATACCTTCTTTCAATCTTCTCGGCAATACTGAAACAAAATTCTCACTGTGAAACTAGAACACTCGACGTGGCATCATGTGGTGATGTCAGGCATGATGTCATGAGGGATGTCAAGTGGTGACATCACGAGGTGATGTCAGGCATCATGGTGATGTCAGCAGACGTCGCGAGGTGACTCCTGGAGTGACTTCGCGAGGTGATGTCAGGCAGCATGGTGACATCAGGCAGCATGGTGACATCAGGCAGACGTTGCGAGGTGACAGCAAGCAACATCATGGGTAACGTCGTGAAGTCGGGCAGCATTGTGATGGCAGTGGAGTGATGCGAGCAGCATGGTGACGTCATGTGGCTTGGAACATCGGGCTTGGTAACACGTGGCTTGGAACATCGGGCTTGGTAACACACGTGGCTTGGAACATCGGGCTTGGTAACGCACGCGGCTTTGTCTATCCCCCACGTGGCTTGCTCCACGTGGCTTCGTGATCCACGGGGCTTCGAGTGACCTCGGGTACTGGGATACACAGCTCTAGCAAAGAATTCACACTGAATTCACGGAAAAACAAGAGAGGGAGTGAGAGCATAGTGGTGGAGAGTGTGGGGCGAGCATGGGTGAGTGAGGCCAGGAACTCCGGCCGCTTCCTCCTCTCCCACAGGGAGAAACACTCACACTGAACACAGAAATCACCACAAACTCACCTCTGACTTGCTGAAATAGCTGTACTGGGCTGAAAACAATAGCAGAATCATACAGGTGACGCTGAATACGTGACTTGAGAACAGCGTGGGGCGCTGTGAAGTTCCAGATGACGCCACGAACATTTTTTGAGGAAAATTCAGCAAATTTCGGCCTAGATCCTGCTTGTACCAGTGTCTGGATGCTGAGATTTGCAGACACGACTTCAAGATAACTCGATGAGAGACGGATGCCTCTTGTATGGTACGATGAACTGAAAACATCATCGTCGTCTTCCTTTCCCTCTCCGGAGGCTTCTTACTTTATTTGCGATATCGTGGGTACACAGGCAGTGTTTAAGTTGCCCTGGCCCTGGGTGGGGAAGGGGGCATGCTTACGAGGGAGAGAGGAGTAGGCCTTGTTGACTCTAGGATGCCTGGACGCCGAGTGAAGGAGTGGCAGGGTGATGCCGTTTGAAACGACAGGCCCACCAGGGTTGCCCTCTGGTGGAAACTATTAAAAATTAAGAATATAGGCTTACAGTCTACACCATTCCTACTGTTCCATCCATTCCTCTTCCATTCCTACTGTTCCATCCATTCCTCTTCCATTCTTACTGTTCCATTCATTTCTCTTCCATTCCTACTGTTCCATCCATTCCTCTTCCATTCCTACTGCTCCATCCATTCCTCTTCCATTCCTACTGTTCCATCCATTCCTCTTCCATTCCTACTATTCCATTCATTTCTCTTCCATTCCTACTGTTCCATCCATTCCTCTTCCATTCCTACTGCTCCATCCATTCCTCTTCCATTCCTACTGTTCCATCCATTTATCTTCCATTCCTACTGTTCCATTCATTTCTCTTCCATTCCTACTGTTCCATTCATTTCTCTTCCATTCCTAGTGTTCCATCCATTTCTCTTCCATTCCTACTGTTCCATTCATTCATTGGATGAACAATAGATTAAAACATCTCACTGGTCAAAAGAGAGGCATATATATGTGTATCAAAAGAGGGGATGGGCAGTTAAGAAATCAATATATTCAATTAAAGAGAGAAATAAAGAAAGGAATAAGAAAATCAATAAGGGATTAGGAGACTAAGGTCGCAAGGGATTCAAAGACTAACCCAAAAGGGTTCTTTCAGGTATACAGAAGCAAGATTAGGGACAAGATTGGCCCACGTAAGTGTAACTCTGGTCAGATCACTGACAGTGATAAGGATATGTGTGAAATTCTAAATACCTACTTCCTCTCGACTTTCACCCAGGAAAATACTAGCGATATTCCTGAAATAATAGATTATGTAGAACAGGACGATAATAAACTATGTACGATTGCAGTAACTAGTGACATGGTCCTCAGACAAATAGAGAAACTAAAACCTAACAAATCCCCAGGTCCTGATGAACTGTTTGCAAGGGTGTTAAAGGAATGTAAAGAGGAACTTAGCATACCTTTGGCTAATCTTTTTAACATATCACTACAAACTGGAATAGTGCCTGATAAGTGGAAAATGGCAAATGTAATACCTATTTACAAGGCAGGTGACAGGTCCATGGCTTCGAACTATAGACCAATAAGCCTTACCTCCACAGTGGCAAAAGTTATGGAATCAATAATTGCCGAAGCAATTCGTAGCCATCTTGACAGGCACAGATTGATTAATGAATCTCAACACGGTTTTACAAAGGGGCGTTCCTGTCTTACGAATTTACCAACTTTTTTCACTAAGGTGTTTGAAGAGGTAGATCATGGTAATGAATATAATATTGTGTATATAGACTTTATTAAGGCTTTCGATAGAGTTCCACACCAGAGGCTATTGAGAAAGCTTAAGGCACACGGAATAGGAGAAAAAATTTTTTCCTGGGTAGAGGCATGACTGACAAATAGACAGCAGAGAGTTTGCATAAATGGGGAGAAATCAGAATGGGGGCACGTCACAAGCGGTGTTCCTCAGGGGTCAGTGTTGGGTCCGTTGTTGCTCACAATTTACATAAACGACATAGATGAGGGAATAAATAGCGACATAAGCAAATTTGCTGATGACACCAAAATAGGCCGTCCAATTCATTCTAATGAGGACACTAGAGCACTACAGGATGATTTGAATAGACTGATGCAATGGTCGGAGAAGTGGCAGATGCAGTTTAATATTGACAGATGCAAAGTTATAAATGTTGGACAGGTAAATAACCATGCCACATATAAACTTAATAATGTAGATCTTAATACTACTGATTGCGAAAAGGATTTAGGAGTTCTGGTTAGCAGTAATCTAAAACCAAGACAACAGTGTATTAGTGTTCACAATAAAGCCAACAGAATTCTTAGCTTCATATCTAGAAGTATAAATAATAGAAGTCCTCAGGTTGCTCTTCAACTCTATATATCCTTGGTTAGGCCTCATTTAGACTATGCTGCTCAGTTCTGGTCACCGTATTACAGAATGGATATAAATGCTCTGGAAAACGTACAGAGGAGGATGACAAAGATGATCCCATGTATCAGTGGAGACGTGTACTTAGCTCTGTGAAGACCTGTTTGCGCGCTCTCTACGAATTGAAGCAAGATGCCCTCCATCGAGCAACTTTACCAACAGCTTAAGGAAGAATTGAGGATGGCGAAGATGGAGATTCGGCGACTGACCGAGGAAAACAAGAAGATTCGTAGTAGTCCTCCTGTTTTGAGTCCTCAGATCAAGAAAGGAAACTGGTCAGTGGCTGGACAGCAGGGAACGAAGTTGACGATCAAGAAGACGAATGGAAAGGTAGAAACGATGAAGAAGAAAGAGACTGCCGTGGAAACTGTTGTGGAAACATCTAATACATTCTCAGTGCTACCCGACGAATGTGAGTCGACTCCTGGGAACGTCACGACGAACGACACCAAGGAAGGTAAGAATATTGTTGTTGCTGGGGATAGCCAAGTTAGGTATATGGGTAGGGCGTTCTGCTTGAAGGACAGGAGTAGGAGACAGAGGGTTTGCTTTCCTGGGGCTGGAATGGAGGATAATGTTAGCCATCTGGATGACATCATGAGAGGTAATGGGAGCAATCCTATTATCTGTCTCAGTGCTGGAGGCAACGATGTTGGCAGATGTAGGAGTGAAGACCTGATTAGCAGGTATAGGTCAGCAATAGAAATAATTAGGAGGAAGGGTGGGAACCCTGTCATATGTGGTATTTTGCCAAGGAGAGGAGTTGGAAATGAATGGTTGTCCAGGGCAATTGGTGTCAATTGCTGGCTGGACAAATACTGTAAGGAAAATGCGGTAACATTCATTGACAACTGGGACCTCTTCTATGGCAGAAATGACATGTATGCCAGGGATGGGGTTCACTTATCTAGGTCTGGGGTGGGAGCACTGGCAACTGCATTGGAGGGAGCTGTTAGGACTTTAAACTAGGAATAGTTAGTGGTATGGGTTTTGGCGGGAAAACAGTGAAGTCCCAGTGTAGTAATATTATGAGTTCTAGGGGAACTAGTAATAAGCAGAACGAGGTAGATATTGAAAAGCCAGTGACACTGGGTGATAAGGACAGTAATAGGTTTAGTAGAAAAACAGAAATGAGCAGGAAGGATAAAGAGAAAGGAGAGTCTTTCAATGTTTATTGTGCTAATAGCAGTAGTGCTAGGAATAAGATGGACGAGTTGAGATTAGTTGCTAGTGCAGGTAACATTGATGTATTTTCCCTAACTGAGCCGTGGTTTAATTCAAAAAGTCGAGACATGCCTGCGGAATGTCACATTCAGGGTTTTAAATTGTTCCAAGTAGATAGAAGTATCGGGAAGGGGGGTGAGGTGGCATTGTATGTCCGAGATCGCTTGAACTGTTGCATAAAAACGGGTATTAAGTCTGAAGTAACACATACAGAGTCTATTTGGATAGAATTTTCAGAGGGGCATGAAAAACTGATTTTAGGAGTGATATACCGTCCCCCAAACTTAGATAGGGACCAAGGGAGACTACTATGGGAGGAAATTGTTAAGGCCACAAGGCACGATAATGTAGTAATTCTAGGAGACTTTAACTTTAGTCATATTGATTGGAATTTCTTGACTGGGAATTTAGAATCATACGACTTCTTAGAAGTAGTTCAGGATTGTTTTTTGAAGCAGTTTGTGGCAGAACCTACAAGGGGAAATAACCTGCTTGACTTAGTTCTGGCAAACAATGAATCCCTTGTTAATAATTTAGAAATTTCACAGGAACTGGGTGCTAGCGACCACAAATCAATTACATTTAGCATTGAATGGAAGTACGATAGTAGCGATAACTCAGTAACAGTCCCAGATTTTCACTTAGCAGATTACGATGGGCTTAGAGAACACTTATCATCTGTTGACTGGGGTAACGAAGAGAGCTATCAGTATGACAGTTTTCTGAACACTATACATGCTGCTCAAAGAACGCTTATCCCATATAAAGAAATTAGATCAAATAGAAATGACCCAAAATGGATGAATAATAGGCTCAAATATCTACTAGGGCATAAGAAAGGAATTTATAAGCGTATCAAAAGAGGTGAGGGTCATCTTATGAATCAGTATATTGACATTAAGAGGGACATTAAAAAGGGGGTAAGAAAAGCTCAAAAGGACTATGAAATTAAAGTTGCTAGGGATTCTAAAACTAACCCAAAAAGTTTTTTCCAGGTATATAGAACAAAAGTCAGAGATAAGATAGGTCCCCTTAAAAATAACTATGGGCATCTTACTGACAAAGAGAATGAAATGTGCTCGATTTTAAATAATTATTTTCTCTCGGTTTTTACACAGGAAGACACTAACAATATTCCAGTAATTAATTTTTATAGTGGGCTAGAAGATAAATTATGTAACATCACAGTCACTAGTGAAATGGTTGTGAAGCAGATAGACAGACTGAAGCAAAATAAGTCGCCAGGTCCTGATGAGGTTTTTTCAAGGGTTCTTAAGGAATGCAAAATGGAACTCTGTGAACCATTAATTTTTAATTTATCTCTT